TAAAGAACTGGCAAGACACCTAGCATGTGATGAAATAACTATACTTCATTACCAATGACTTTGCAAACAGTTTATGATAACGTATGCCGACCCACCGTGTTCAAATACCAGAACAGCCATGGTATATTCTGTACCCGTATTCGTGCTCTGTACTCCTGAATTATATTACCAAATTCCTGGATGTATTTACATGCAACTTTACAAACAGCGCTGAGCTGGTGGCTATTCCGAGAACCCCACCAGGTGACGAACCTGCTCGTGCCGTCTCACCAGAATGGGCGGCAGCGATCATCTAGTACTTACATGCAAGCGCCATCCTCGCCAGCGGCGCCGAGTATCTGTCGTAAGCACCTAGAGCGGTGTGTCGCAGTGTTTCATGCGGCTGTTTTTCGGCTGTGTTTGGGCATGAGATCGACGATTAGCCCCTCGTCAGTGCTGGCAATAGGCGATCGGCGCTGTTGGTTGGAGGAGCCGCAAGCCTGTGGGGCCGCCACCCTTAATGAATTTTTAGCGAAGTCCCTCTCTTTAACGGGTACTTACTGATCCGGTGGGATCTTCATTCGTCTTTAATTGAAACAAAGGGGTTTTGAAATTATGTATGGGGGATTTCTACTCCGTATCTAATGAGGGAAGCGCCGTTCTACCTGGGCGAGCTAGGTCTGCGTTGAATGCCGGCCCGCCGCCTCAATCGCAGGTGTCACGCGCGGGACTTCCTTTGAAGTTGCCGCCCGTCTCTTCTGGTACATTAGGTCGCGCATCGGTTTCATCCCGGCGTGTAAGGATAATTTTAGTAATTTTATTGCAATTTCTATGCTAAATTTGTGTAATTTCTGAGGGGCAGGCGTCGGACGGACACGAGCGGCGGCGCCTTTGATGTCCGCCGCCCCTCGCCGTGGGAAAAACGCGTGCCGCCGGGCCGCAGCCGGCCGGCGAGCGCGCGCGCCGCCGTGCGCGCTCCCGACTTGAAACGGCGCCGACCATTCATCGGCGATCTGCACGCGTTTTTTGCGCTGCGGGCAGCTGTGCGCGTGCGTTGCACCGGCGGGGTCTCTCGGCGGGTCTCGTGAAAGCCGAGCTGGCGAGGCCCGGCCGGCGCTCGCGGGCCGCCATGCGTACCGTTGGCGCATACCCGCGTAATAAGGTAATCGCGGCGCGGCGGCTCCTTTGAAGTTTTACGGACAATTAGTCACCGATGTATATTATCCGCGCCGGCCGGCGGCGACCGGGCGGAGCGGCGAGCGAGGCGGCCGGTGCGCCTCCGACGCACACCGACATTGCAGCTCCGGCGATCCTAGTTCGGATTGCTTCCATTGCGGGAGGCGGCGGTTGTACGCTGGCGCTGCAGGGGTGGGTCGTATGTCAGGCGGCCCCTTTGAAGGGCGCTTGATCCGGCATCCACAGTCGCTGGGCTGTGGGCGGCGAACGTCGAAGCACCATGCAGGGACGCGGGCGGTGGCACGGCCGACACCCTCATTGTTGGCGGACGGTTACGTGGGTGTGCGCCTGCCCCGCCGCCGCCCCCGCCGCCGCCTCTGCCCCCGACGCAGCGGCACGGTATGTGTCGGGGTTGACGGGTGGCCTCGCTTCAGTGCGGCCGGCGAACCGTGCGTACCGTCTCTAAGAGGAAGCCTGAACATCACATCAGAAAATCAACACTCTCGTTTCTTGGACATTTATGAATGACTCCGCGGAACAGCATGACGTGGGGTGCCCTGGGCGGGTCCGGACGGCCGTGTTCCCGAAAGACAGCGCAGCACACGCTCCCGACCTGAGCGGCCGACAATGTCGTCATCCTCACGCCTGAAGCGTCGCGCTCCTCGAAGGGACGGAGCTGAAGCCCCCGGCCGTCGGTCATAGTTTTTGGAAGGCCATGACGTCATCACTGATCATTTCCATGTATATTCCTGACAAGGGCTACCCACGTATTCCTGCGTTTACTTATTTTGCCTCCATACCCACGGCCCCGATATGGCACCTACTCCGTACTCGGGACACTTGCAGCGCCAACTTCCGCCTGCTCGGCGGCGGGTCGACAGCTGATTCCTTCTTTCCCAACCGTTTTCTCGAAACGTTTGCGTTAGTCCAAGCTTACCTAATTTGATGCGCAGACCTTCTCTACAATTGATAAAAAGGTACAGCAGTCCGTTTACGTAGACAAGTAAGGTTGATTAATTTCGTGATGCCCCAAATCACTTATTTCCTTCGTGCCAGTCACGAGGACAGGATAAGTCAGAGCTCACTTATTTGAAGTGGAGAAGTTTTGGCTTCAAAACATTACGGAGACATGCTGGGGGATGAGGCAGCTGCTGACATATCGCAGCGCTGACGGGGCGCCTCGGAAGACGTTCTGAGCATATGGAAATGTTTTGGGAGATGAGGCAGCTGCTGGCGTACCGCAGCTCTGAACGGAACGGCTCAGCAGATATGAACACACGGAGATGATTGGGAGACCAGGCAGGTGCTGACATATCGCAGCGCTGCACGAGGGCGCCCCAGGAGACGTTCTGAGCATATGGAGATATGCTGGGAGATGAGGCAGCTGCTGGCATACCGTAGCTCTGAACGGAACGACTCAGCAGGCATGTTGAACATACGGAGATGTGTTGTGAGACCAGGCAGCTGCTGAGATACCGCAACGCTGCACGGAACGGCTCAGCAGACATTCTGAAAACCAGAAATCAGAGGGGTAGCCGCCAACGCGCGAGGGCTGCGGGTCATGTGGATGTGGTATACGAGGTGGAACGTGCGGATTCATTCTATGTTATATACAGGCATGTCAATGAACCTTACAACCACCTATGTTACACACATGAGCGTACATTTACATGATTGTACATGGCGGGCCTAAACAACGCTCGTAATGCCCGGTAGCAACACTTCGCGCTTGGTTGACGTTGGACATGTGTTGACACTATATGGTAGAAACTGGATAATTTTTGCGCCTTCTGAACCGTCTGAAGCTTCCATTTCGTACTACACGCCTTTGGGCGCCCTGTATTACTCATGGTTGCGTTTGCAAATGTCGTAAGAGCAGAGAGCTGTCGGTGTCAAGAACCCCGTCGACTTTTAGTACCTACTAGTCTAAACCAACGGACACGCAGGTTGCTAGCTTTTGAGTAGCAAGCGTTATGTCACGATGTCGTAGAATCGACGCTCTTATCATCGCTACCTTCCTGAAGTGTCCCTCGTTAATGAGCTCATCTCATCACCAATTTCTTGCAGTCCTTCTCGCCACCACTACGACTTACTCGCGTAACCCCCGCCCCCCCCCCCCCCACTGGAGACGGGCGGGAGTTTTTCATAAGTACTATTCCTCGCTCCTTCCTCCGCCAGGGACGGGCAAGTGCATCTTGTGTAACCTCTCGCTCCTTCCTCCGCCAGAGACGTGCGAGTGCATCTTGTAACCTCGCTCCTTCCTCCGCCAGAGACGGGCGAGTGCATCTTGTAACCTCGCTCCTTCCTCCGCCAGAAACGGGCGAGTGCATCTCGCGAGCCGTCAAGACGCGCTGCCTCAACAAGCTTGAGACGCAGTACCACCTGGACGACGTGGCCGTCCGCTGCCAGCTCAACTTCCTGCCGGAGGTGCGCGTGCGGCCGCCGGCGCTGCCACCTAGCGGCGGCCCGGCGAATCTGCTGACGTGTCGGCCGCTGCCCGGATTCGGGCTGTGTCCGCGCCTGCGCCCCCTGGCGGAGACCAGTACACTGCTCTGCGACCCGAGCAGTGACAACCACCACCGCTGTGACACGACCCACTTCGTGGAGACCAGGTTGTGTGGCGAGACCAAGTGACATGAGAGGTGTAAGGCCTGGGAAAGGGGAGAGACATCTGGTGGTAATCACGACGAAGGAGGGAAGCTGCTAGCCCGGTCCCTCCATAGGTGTTGTCGGGAAAACGATTTCCGGTCTGGTTCAGTGAAGCTTTTGTTTCACCTGGCAGGCCTACCGAGTCACACTGAGGCTGGGTGCTAATACACCTTCCTGAACCTCAGCGAAGGCGGTCGAGCCTGCCAACAGAAATCCCCTTTGTCGTGAAATGCGCCTTGTGATGACTGATGACATTCATGTTTCCGTCTCGTGACCACGCAGCTACGCCCGGCGTGCCCTCCCCCCCCCCCCTCCCTCCTGACCCGGCCACCGCCCCTCCTGATCCGGCCGCCGCTCCTCCTAACTCTGCCGCCGCCCCTCCTGACCCGGCCTCCTTCACTCTGACCCGGCAGCCACCTCTCTTGACCCGGCATCCTCCCTTCCTGACCCGGCAGCCACCTCGCTGACCCTGCCGTCGCCCTGCTGGCCCCGCAGCCACCCCTCCTGACCCGGCCTCTAACCCTCTTGACCCGGCCGCTGCCCGCAGGTGCCGCCTCTTCGAGACGTGCGACCAGGCCGTGCTGCTGTCTGGCGGCTGGAACCGGCTGCACAGCGACCAGCGCAGCAGGATCAACATGCTGCACATGTACCGCATGCTGCACCACACCGGCTTCCACAAGCACAACATCAAGGTGTTCTTCGCCAACGGCCACGACAACCCGGATGGCAGCGGTGAGTGGGTCAGAACGAGGCATAATGTCACTGTGGCATGGTGTCCGTCTGTTGGTGCGTGGCAAACAGTGCACTTGACGCCCGCAAGTGAGCAAGGCGTGCCTTTTACACATTGTGGCTCTTACTCTGGATGTCGTTCCCTTTGGGGTGGTGAGCCTCGTTCTCTGTAAGCTAAGCCACAAATACCGGACTATGGAGTATTTTTGGTTAACTAGACCGAGGATGGCCACGAGCGTGAGCGTGTGTGTGTGTATGCACAATCTCCGCTCGAGGTTGGCCGCGAACGTGAGCGTGTGTGTGTATGCACACTCTCCGCTCGAGGATGGCTGCGAGCGTGAGCGTGTGTGTGTGTGTATGCACCTCTCCGCTCGAGGATGGCTGCGAGCGTGAGCGTGTGTGTGTGATGCACACTCTCCGCTCGAGGAAGGCCGCGAGCGTGAGCGTATGTGTATGTGTATGCACACTCTCCGCTCGAGGATGGCCGCGAACGTGAGCGTGTGTGTGTGTATGCACACTCTCCGCTTCATCCGTTGCGGCATCAACACCGCACTACGTAGTTCCGTCGCAATAACCGCGGTGCCACCACGCCCCGCCCCCTAGCATTCCGCACACACCGCGCCCTGAGAAATCAACCATCGCGTCATCGTCACCCGTCACGTCACGGTGTGGTGCGTCACGCCCACGGCCGGCGCCCGCAGATGAAGCCTACCCGCGCACCTATCTGCACGCGTCGGCGATGAAGCTGGGTCTGCGCTACCACCTGCGGAAGATGTGCGCCGAGCCGCACTGCGTCGACTCGCTGGTGGTGTACCTGAACTCGCCGGCGGCCAACGACGGGTCGGCGCTGCTCTGGGACGCTGACGGTGACGGCATCGTGAGTCGACCCGCGCGTCGGTGACGCTCTGACAGCGAGTCTGACACTGAGGCTGAGTCTGACGCCGACACTGGCTATGGTGCTGATACTGGCTCTGGTTCTGACACTGACGCTGACTGATGTTGGCACTGACATGGCTACTGGCACTAACTAAGTAAAAGACACACCGGCGTATTACAGAAGAAACGCCAGTGACGCTTACACAGACACGAATGTGAACACCGACAACCATCACAATAACACAAACACAGGTAAAGTGAGACGGACATGTCAGTGGATTACAACAGACACACTCGTAGACGGCTGTTCAGTGTAGCAAAGCGAGTTGTATTACAAAAAACGTGTGTGAGCAACGGATGTCTCGAATTCTAAGCCCCTGATATTTCAGTGCAGAGACGGGACGCGGTCCTGTGCAGATATATGTAGTACTGCCCCACCTCTACCGCGTTCCGTGGTCGCCACCCAGCTCAGCCCCCCCCCCCCCCCCACAGGCGTCGCACCACGAGCGGTACCGTGTCTCGGAGCTGCTCTCGGACCTGGAGTCGTGCGCCGCGCGCCAGGTGCTCCTGCTCGTCGACCAGAGCTTCTCTGGCCGCGTGGTGCGCGCCATAGCCAACTCGCCCAACCACGCCAACGTGCAGGTGGCGAGCGCCGGCAGCGCCGACGAGTACAGCTGGGGCGGCGAGTTCACGCGCGTGTGGAGCGCCACCAACCACTCGCGCGCCTGCACCTCACATATCAGCAAGGTGTGTGGCGCTGCTGGACGGGTGGAGGCTGCGCTTCGTGGGCTCTGTGACTTGGGGAGGAGGACGAGAACCTTTGGTTCCGGTGGGAGAGCCTGGCTGATTTGGATTGAATGAGTCAGGTGAATGCTTGGATGGCTGTGTGCTACGTTTGCTCTCGAGCGCACCTTATGACGTGTTTCTCTTGTGACCTGTAAATATGGCTCGCTCCAAGCTCAAAGTCTAGTTACTGCTGATGCATTCTTCTATGCCATTGCCTCTTATAGTTGATTTAAATCTGCCATTGTTGCGTGTTTGCTGCTCGGTTATGCGACAAGCACACCAGTCTAACGGCGCCGGGGGCTGCACCTGGCTTCTTCGGCCGCGACGTGTTGTTCCGCGCGGACGCCGCGCCAGCCCAGCCTCGTCTGACCACGGCGCCCCCGCTCGGCAGTCGCTGCGGTCAGCCGTATTCCGCTCGCACCCGGAGAGCGCCTCCGGCCCGGAGGTGCCGCCGGCGCTGACGCTGTTCGGCGCGCCCTGCGACATCACGCCGGCGCTGACGGCCGCCGAGCTCAACAAGAGCTACCGCGGCTGCCAGAACCTGCCCATTACCGTGTGGTTCCGTGGGCGCGTCGGCCGGCCGGCGGCCGCCTCGCTCGAGCAGCTGGTTCAGGAGGCGGCCACCAGGCGGCGCCGATCGCCGACGGCGGCCGCGTGGCGGCGCTAGCGTCGCGGCCGCCCGTCCGCTGGCGACACGCCGGCACTCAGATGTTTATTATCCGTGGTGTTCAGGTACCAGAGATCGTGTTGTCGGTGTTGTGGCGTGAGAGGAGGGATGGGTGGCTGTTCCGTGCTGGATGACCTCGCGACGCGGGGTGCCCGGTACGGATCGTGTGATGCCGTGTGAAGGACGGTAGTACTGAAGCTGGAGGTACTCACCGTACGGCTACACGTGTCGTGTATTGGTGTATTTAACTCGCTCTGCTGAGCATGTATGCCGTTGGAGCCGGTTCGTCAATGTGTAGCAACGACACTTGCGGTGGATATCGCTAGTTCGTTAGTCCAGCGCGTTACGTGCCCTTGTTCGAGTCTAGCAGATTCGGGCAGACGGCACATCACCACCATTGCGCTGACACGTGACGTCATTCGGATCACGCGCGCCCGATCAGTCATCGGATAACTTCCTAATCACTCTTAGCGTATTGACCTCATTATCATCCATAAGGAACGTGGGAGCACTCACATTGTAACACCGTCCTAACGTTACATGTCGGCTCGCAGCGCATCGCGATCAGACGGATGTTTCCGTTGGTCGTGCGCTGCTGGCTTACTTCTGGTGAGGTTCTGGCCAAGGGGCGGCAACCAATTTGAGGGGGGACGAGGGTGGGATGGGGGGAGGGGGGTTAGTTAGTGTCATAGTCACGGTTTGGAGCGGAGGGAATAGTGGTGGCCAGCGTTCGGCACGGACTCGCTTGTTCGTGTTATGGTCCCATACATTATAGCCAATAAACTCGTGTCGTATCTGAGAATGTTATCTCCAGCGCACGTAGGATGGGCGGCCTCAGTCACTCACGGATGACGCGGCCGGAGGTGCGGTCACTCACGGATGACGCGGCCGGAGGTGTGGTCACCCACGGATTCACTAACGGATAACGCGGTCGGAGGTGCGGTCACTCAAGGATGACGTGGCTGGAGGGGCGGTCACTCACGGATGACGTGGCCAGAGGTGTGGTCACTCACGGATGCCGCGGCCGGAGGTGCGGTCACTCACGGATGACGCGACCGGAGGTGCGGTCACTCACGGATAACGCGGCCGGAGGTGTGGTCACTCACGGATTCACTCACGGATAACGCGGTCGGAGGTGCGGTCACTCAAGGACAACGTGGCCGGAGGAGCGGTCATTCACGGATGACGCGGCCGGAGGTGTGGTCACTCACGGATGCCGCAGCCGGAGGTGTGGTCACTCACGGCACTCACGGATGACGCGGCCGTAGGTGCGGTCACTCACGGATGACGCGGGCGGAGGTGCGGTCATTCACGGATGCCGCGACCGGAGGTGTGGTCACTCACGGATGACGCGGACGGAGGTGCGGTCACTCACGGATGCCGCAGCCGTAGGTGCGGTTACTCACGGATGACGCGGCCGTAGGTGCGGTCACTCACGGATGGCGCGGGCGGAGGTGCGGTCACTCACGGATGCCGCGGCCGGAGGTGCGGTCACTCACGGATGACGTGGGCGGAGGTGCGGTCACTCACGGATGACGCGGGCGGAGGCGGGGCGAACACGAATCCTTTCGGCGAATACAGCGGGACACGTTACAGCACATTGGTAGTTGTCTGCCAACTCATGTCTTAACGTCCCTGGCAGGTCGTTAGACGTACGGCCCAAATAATTATCATAACGTACGTTCCAGCATGAGCCTAAGAAAATCTGCTGAGAGACCCACGACCAACTATTTATTCTTTGGTGTGGTCAACAGAGTTAATGCACCATAAATGCGTGTCCAAGTGTCTGAGATGGCCAGCGCACACTCATGGGGACAAGTTACGTGGGCGATAAAGCCCACGCATAACTCCGTGACCTCAATACAATGATGCAGCTGAAGACGACGAAAACCGCGAACAAAAGCTGGTGTATGTATTGTAAAGCAGTGAAGCGCACGGACAGCACTGTTAACTTTCCTCAGGGGTAAGGGGAAAACAAATTTAGATACCTAAGCAAATCTGGAGCTTTCCATTCCATCCTCCCATCTAAAAATCTAGAAAAGTCCACGAATTTCTTCCGCTTTTTCAAAATCGCGCATCAGGTACATATGGGACCTCAACTCTTTCTAATCGGAAACTTCTCCTGGTCCGGCGAGACCTCCAATTTTCCATGATAATTTTTATGCACCTGATGGCGCTTCCTCTGAATCATCTAAGGCCTTCTGTCGATAAACTGAGTGCGATGTCGGCCTTGTATGGCCTTCCGTGGGGCACCCACTGTTTTCCACGCGCTTTGCATGCCGCCCTCGTGAATTTATGAAATGTCTTGATCACGTGGGTTTCCTATGTGCAGGACGGGTCCACTGAAATTTAAGGGGGAAAACGATATGCTTGCACTCTTTAGCCAGTGGCGAGCATTGCTATCCTGGCCGCGTGGCAAGTTTTGATGACTTGGAATTCATTGAAGTGCAATGAATTTACAAAATTCCAAGTCTCGCTACGCAGTTTTTCATTTCCGTCCTTTTCCTCTCCATTGCCCGATCTCTTTCTGTTGCGCTGAATGTCATCGAATGTGACAAAATTGCAATATGTGTTATGGGTAGGACGGTTACGATACCGGATTATCAACAACAAAGAAACTATCATCTCGTAACGACACAAGCCAGAGCTTAAGCGTCAGCAACGCGCCCATATATGCTTAGCCAGGGACAAGCGTCACGTAGAAGGCATCACCGCAACTACGCTGATCAGCAGCTGTCGTTTCAGCACTCGCATTCCAGAAAAGTGGATCAGTGGAACGCAACGAAGTCACAAAACGTTGTCTATTTCGGAGTGCAGAGAACGCCTTTGAACATTTCAAAGGGCAGAAAATACAATGAGGTATACAAATTGATTCCCAAAAAGTAATACCAAAAACGTATCTTCAGCGGGACATACAGGTTGGCCATATGCCAACCTTAAAAGGCAGTGCAGGCTTAAAAACCTCGCACGCACACGTTTCTCGGAGCGCTCAAAACAAGAAAATTAACAATACTGTTGGGCGACGATCAGCGAGGCACCACGATTCCCGATTGCAAAACTGGCCGACAGCACGCACCCCGCGTCTGGCCCGCCGCCAGACGCAGCCGACCACCGGAGCACCCGTACGTCCGTATCTAACCTCAGAGCAGCCCGTGATTGAGCGGCAAAATCTGCCTACCTACCTTGGCCCAGCCGCCACGCGAGGGCAGTGGTACAGAGCTGCCAACACGCCAGGCGAGTACCAAACATGGCCGGCAGACCTACTGGCCCGGCAGAGCTCCGCATCCGACAACCGTGGGTTAAGTACACACTTGCCCGGAGCGTCACGAGCACCTCGGGCGTCAGCCGTCACCACGAAGGCCAGGAGCACCTCGGGCGTCTATTGTCACCACGAAGGGCAGGAGCACCTCGGAGGTCAGTCGTCACCACGAAGGCCAGGAGCACCTCGGGGGTCAGTCGTCACCACGAAGGCCAGGAGCACCTCGGGCGTCTATTGTCACCACGAAGGCCAGGAGCACCTCGGGCGTCAGTCGTCCCCGAAGGCCAGGAGCACCTCGGGCGTCAGTCGTCACCACGAAGGCAGGAGCACCTCGGGCGTCAGCCGTCACCACGAAGGCCAGGAGCACCTCGGGCGTCAATCGTCCACGCGAAGGCAGGAGCACCTCGGGCGTCAGTCGTCACCACGAAGGCCAGGGCACCTCGGGCGTCAGTCGTCACCACGAAGGCCAGGGGCACCTCGGGCGTCAGTCGTCCCCACGAAGGCCAGGAGCACCTCGGGCGTCAGTCGTCACCACGAAGGCCAGGAGCACCTCGGCGTCAGCGTCACCACGAAGGCCAGGAGCACCTCGGGCGTCAATCGTCCACGCGAAGGCCAGGAGCACCTCGGGCGTCAGTCGTCCCCACGAAGGGCAGGAGCACCTCGGGCGTCAGTCGCCCCCACGAAGGCCAGGAGCACCTCGGGCGTCAGTTGTCACCACGAAGGCCAGGAGCACCTCGGGGGTCAATCGTCACCACGAAGGCCAGGAGCACCTCGGGCGTCAGTCGTCACCACGAAGGCCAGGAGCACCTCGGGGGTCAGTCGTCCCCACGAAGGGTAGGAGCACCTCGGAGGTCAGTCGTCCCCACGAAGGGCAGGAGCACCTCAGGCGTCAGTCGTCACCACGAAGGCCAGGAGCACCTCGGGGGTCAGTCGTCACCACGAAGGCCAGGAGCACCTCGGGCGTCAGTCGTCACCACGAAGGCCAGGAGCACCTCGGGGGTCAGTCATCCCCACGAAGGCCAGGAGCACCTCGGGGGTCAGTCGTCACCACGAAGGCCAGGAGCATCTCGGGCGTCAGTCGTCCCCACGAAGGCCAGGAGCACCTCGGGCGTCAGTCGTCCCCACGAAGGTCAGGAACACCTCGGACGCTAATGGTCATCTATCCCCAAGTACAGGTACAACGCATCCTATTGCCTTCTACACGCGGCATGAGCGGCGGCCGGCTGACGACGGCGCACCGAAGCCGGCGTCGGCCATCCGCCATCTGTTGCCCTCTCCAGACGAGACAGGCGGCCGGTGTCGCAGGGCGTGAGTGGTGAACATCCACCGGAGCTTCACGTGGTTCTGTCCATCTCGCCGAGCAGCCGTCACGTGACGCAGGGAGGGGCGGCGGCGGCGCGCTGCCGCCGTGGACGGGGACGGGGACGCGGATGGCCGGCGGCTACAGCTGGTCCACCATGCGACTCATCTCCGGCGGGGCCTTGCCCAGCAGCGCCAGCAGGCGGAAGGTGTGACGGACGGCCCATAGCTTCACAGAGTCCACGCTGTGACAGACGAGACGACGGTCAGTGTACTGTGTAACAGGGCTGACGTGCAGGGAACCGCCGCTCCACACTGTGCACGGCATCTACTTTATTGTCATATTGACGATTAGACTGGGAAGACATACCGCAATGTGATAAATTACTAAAATAAGTTTTTTCCAAATCCGCGTTGAGCATTCCGTTAACGGCACACTCGCGATGCCCGTACAGAAACGAAGACCGCCAGGTGCAGGGGGGGGGGGGGGGGGAGGGGGCGCCCACGGGAGGCGCTGCCGGACCGGCCGGCCGGCCGCGCCACTCACAACAGCCGCCAGTCGAAGACGAGTCGCTGCCAGTAGCCGGCCAGCTGGGAGCGCAGGCCACCGCCCTCCACGCGGAAGGCGCCCTGCGTGGCGCTGCGAGCCATCAGCCGGTACCGGTCCACCTGGCTGCCATGCTCGGCCGTGATGGCGCGGATCAGGTTCATGTTCCTGCCGGCGCCGGGAGGGCAGGGGTCACGCGGCGGCGACGGCCGGCCGCTGCCCGCACGGCACGCTATGGCCACGGGCTGCCCCACAGCGCGCGCGGATCGGTTCGGTTACGTTCATAGTCCACAGTCCAGGATTTTCCATACCCTTGAGTTAAAAGTTGCCAGGACCTGGAAGCGTGGGACCCACAGGCGCGCTACAGGCGACAGGCATATACAGGTGTGTATAGGCACAAAAGCCGAGTACTGCTCGCGTAGTAATGCACCTCTCTGCAAAGCAAACTGAAGCCATTTCGGGACGGTTGTTTTACAGAGCTTAAGCTGTCACGGCAAAGCGCCTAAGTACAGTGTAGTTGTTACTTCATGCAGCGCTATCTACCCACCCCCGGCTACAGAGGCCCTCTCTCTATTACCGGCTCCCACCCACTGACTAGGAAACACCGGTCACTTCCCAGGTGCAGTTCTGTCGTGTCCTCTTTGCCCCCCCCCCCCCCCTGTTAACTATGCCCGCTGAAGCGACTCCAACTACCGGCCTCGCTGGACGGACGCGGGGTAACCCTGTCCACTGGATGAGTGTGCAGAAACATGTGTCAGGACGGTCATGAGTGGGACCGGTGAGAGGACAGCGCTCAAGGACCTGTGGGAAAGGAGGAAGGCAATGGATTTGAGGGGGCCGTCAGTGCAAAGGCCATTCCACAACAGCCAGACTGAATGCTTGCATTAACTGACGCAAGGAGCAGAAGATCCGGGCAGTTACAAGCAGCGGCTGCTTAATGTGCAGAGTCGATCACTCGTGATAAGTGTGGTTTGACGCGGTGGAGGCTCTCCGCCCACAGCGCGGGATGCAGGGGTGCGCGGCTACGACGCGCGGCTCTGGGTCTCTCCAGCCACCGGGCATAACTCCGGTCTCAAGCAGCCAGCGTGTGTGGGGCGAGGGGGTGGGTGGGGTTGGGGTGGAGGGGGGAGGGGGGAGCGCAGCACAAAGCAGCGCGTCAGGGACGGTGAGCCAGCGGAGGCGGGCCGGGGGACACGCCGCGACAGCCCCTCCTCGAAGCAGCAAACCACTAAGGTAGAATCTCGACAAGCGAACATGCATCATGCGCGTGACAGCAATAGCGACAATATGCAGGACACGGCTTCTACGGCTACTCGAATGCCAGGGCAAGTCTAAGTGAAAAGTAGCAGTACACGGGGCTACGTTGTTTGAAGTGTCATCAATTGACGTGGATGACCGTAGAATCTGGGTCCTGGCTCTCAGCGCACACAAGACCAAGCCAATCCCGCACCCACACGCCCATCCATGCAAACATGCTACCGACATACTAGGACTGGACACATGCGGTTTGCTTAGCCGGGTTTCAGAGGTCAGTGTGGCAAGCAAGCGTAATGAAAAGGCGCCGAGTGCGAGGAAATAGCGATACTTTGCTTTCATTGGCGCTGAGTGCAAGGAGAAACTGAGCCGGACTAGTCCAGTTCACAGAATTACCATACAATTTCCACGTCAGTGGGATATAAGCATTGCAGAGCATGAGGCCAAAGCATAAAGGTGTTGCCAGAACTATAGCCGTAAGTGGGTGTCGTGGGCGAGAGCACAGATGACACAGGGCGTCATTGGAGGACCGTAGGCGGCTTCGGCCAAGCAGCCGGCGCGTGCGCGACGGCGGGCAGACGGACAGGCGGCGCCAGGCGGCAGGCGGACAGGCGGCGACAGGCGGCAGACAACGGCGCCGGGCGGCGAACAGCTGGCAGACAGCTGACGGCACACAGACAGGCGGCGCCAGCGGCGGACAGGCGACGCCAGACGGCAGATGGCTGGCGGACAGCTGGCGACGGACGGCTGGCAGGCAGCTGTCGGCAGTCCGACGGCGACCGGCCGGCAGGTTGTCCGACGGACGGAAGGCAGACGGCGGGCGGACGGACAGCCGGCGGACGCCGGCGGACGCCAGCGGACGGACAGGTGGCGCCGGGCCGTCACGCGGCTCCAAACGAGCAGACGGCTTCAGAACAACAGACGGCGGAAAGCTAGCTCCAGACGGACGGCAAGCGTCAAGCGGACAGACGGCGGAGGGCTAGCTCCATGTGGATAGGGGGCTCCAGCTGGACGGACGGCGGCACACGGGCGGGAAGCGGACCGCTATTATCAGACCGGCAGACCGCGCCGGGCGGGAGCGGAGAGCTCAGACGACAGGCCAATTTTCGAGAGCTTACGGGCACCGAGTGCTTGATTAAAAGGCACTAGTCCAGCCGGATAGCTGTCGGGTTCGGCCAGCTGAGCACAGCCCCGGCATGCTGTACCAAATGGAGGTGGGTCACGAGAGGCTCCAGCGGCGCCCATGCCAGACGGCGAGCCCGCGTGCGCCGGCCTGATTTTCTGCACAGCCGGCGCCAGCTGCGCAGGGGTGAGCCGCAGCCGACAGCCTGCTCTCACCGGCTGGCTGGAGCGCATCGTGCTGTTGTTAGCAGGGGCATTCGTGGAAGCAACGAAGCGATCGCCGACAGCCAACGGATTCAGCCGATGGGAGGTGACGTCGGGTGACGAGCATGACACCACTCACATCTCGTCCTCCTAGCTATCGTGCATCAGAATGTGCAGTGTAAGCCGAAGAAGCACAGTCCATCGAGAGAAGAGAAGCCGGTGGCCGCCCGGCTCCCTGGCCCGTACATAGTACAGTGACCCGTCGCAGAGCCCCGTACGCTGCACTGGGTCGCCAATCCGTCTCCGTGGCCTGTACACTGCCGGGCGCCGCCCAGCGCCCGCCGCCTGACGTGCGGCGCTCTAGCCGCCGTCCTGTACACCGCACGCGGTCAGTGGTCCGCCGGAGCATCCGCATTCACCAGCGTTCACCGGAGGCCTAGCGAGACCCCGACC